TTGCCTTAATGCTAGTAGATATTTCTATATATTAGTAGTATTTTAATGATAAAGCCTAAAGATAATAAACAGAAATTTTATATCAGTATGTTTTTTTTATTTGTTTAATTAAACTAGAAAAATGTGATCTATTGGGTTTTAGAGCATAACATCACATTATGCAAAAAAATCTTTAAAGTTATATTAGATCTGCTAATTTGAAGATATTAATTTTTTAGTATAAATATATGGCTTTTACACACATATTTAAATGTTCAATGAAATTGTAAAATCAGTTGTTAGAGATGATTTAGTGCTATAGGTTAATGTAATATAATAATATGAATAAAGTTAGTTAAGTTAATTAACATCTCTACTTGAGCTTTTAATATATTATATCTTCCTGATCTAAATTCTTAATACATAAAAATTTAACTTATTTATTAATAATTATATTATTGTTGTAGTTCTTTTTTTTTTATCATTATCAAAATGACAAAATACATAATACTGAATGCCATTGAACTATCATTGCTAAAGATGACAAACTACCTAATATTTGAATGCTAATGAAAATTTTATTTTTTTTAAACATAGAAATATAACATTAGTTATATAATAAATTGTATATATCAATTTGAAAAATACTGCTTGATATATAAGTATCAAGACAGTGTTTGTCTTGAATCAACTCAGATTTGAATATGTGATTGGCCCAATTACAGTTACATATTTGATCATTGATTAATTTAATAATCAATCAAGATTAAGTAAGTATAAGTAATTGTTTAGTTTAACTATAAGGTAATTAGCTAGTAATTATTCAGTATATTATATGTAAATAAATTGCATAAGTATGAGGTATTAGATGAGTAATTATATAAGTATATATTAGAGTTAATAGGGTATATAAATAGGAAAACCTTGTTTCTTTTGCAAATCTGATATTAATTCTGATTATATCAAGCAAGTTTTACTTACCTTAGTTATTATAAGCATATCTAAAAAGTTAGTTATTTTAGAAGATGAATCTTTGTCTACTAATAGTAATATTGAATTAATGCATAAAAATAATGTTGAAACAGTACAAAGAACTGCTCTAACTAATGTTAATTCAGTACAAAAAGTTGACTAGACTAATTTTAAGGCTAATTTTGGCTATTTGCCAGTAAAATTGTTAAAGTTTTTATGTTATGAAATGGGTGTTTCTGAGTCAGGCTCAAAGCAGAATTTAGTAGATCATTTAGTTAATAAAAGTCAAAAGAAGCTTGTTTTGCTAGCTTTAAATACTTCTGGTAAAAACAAAGAGGTTGATGTTGATAATGGTATAAAGAAGATACTTAGAAAAAATAATAAGTTGAACTTCAAGTCAGAGAAAGCTTTTGCTAATGTTTTCAATAAGGTCTCAGAAACAGTCAAGAATTTTGAAATAAAAGAATATAATAATCAATTTTCATTGCATTTGCTCCTTTTAGCAACCGAAGCATCTTGCAATTGGGATATTAAGAAGGTTTATAGAGGAAGCATGAATTGACCAAAGCAAGAAATCAATGAGAATATAATAAGTAATATAAGGCAGGTTTGTTGTTAGATAAAGCTCTTGCTACAGGTGATGCTGAATATGTACAACTGGCTAGACAAGGGCATTTAAAAGGACCTATATTGTTAGAATAGCTGATGAGGATAGATGAAACATGGTTGCTAAAATAGTATCAAGTAACCAGCTAGATCCTATATCAACATTGTTTGATAGTAAGCATAAAAGAGCAAAATTAGCAGCATAACAGTTTCCAAAAAACAAATGTTCCAGAGTATTGTACAGGCAGAATCAAATATTTAATAGTCATCAAGGCCTTTCTTAGACTCAAGTTCCTAGTTATTATAGGTTTTGCATACCAACTTCATATAAACTGACAGTTAAATTCATACAAACAGACAGTCAAATTTGTACAAACAGACAGTCAAATTTGTACAAACTGACAGTCAAATTTGTACAAATTGACAGTCAAATTCATATATAGCACTTTTAATTAAATTACAATATTATATAACCTAGTAACTTAAATTATGTAAATTTGGTACCATTTGATTTATCAAAATTAAATAAATCAAATAGTACCAAATTTACATAATTTAAATTACTAGGTCACAAGATA